TGCCAATTGTCCAGGAATCACTGAGTTCTCCCCTCGTACTGCCCCTATCCCCCATGACCCCGTACAACCCAAGGGGAGGTGCAAGTGGTCTTGTATGATGCTCCCGACGAACCTCTCAGAGAACACACAGGGGCACAGCATCTGGTGTGGGCCATGTGGCAGCCATTATGGCCGGAATCCTACAGCTCAGCCTGTTCAATGTAATCCCCTGCACGAGGTCGGGCTTTGAACATCAGACCAGGTGTGTATTCGGATTTCCGCTGCAGCCTTCTTGTGCATGGAAGACGCTCTGCCGGTTGGATGTGCGGTCGTGGGTCCGAAGATTCGAAAGTGCGACCAGGGGCCACTATGTGCATTACCTGCTGGTGCTCTACCCACTGAGCTAAGCCTTGTAACGGTCCTGAACACTCGTACTTGCACGCTCGGTGCGTCCGTGGTTTGTGTCGGTCGATGCCCGCTGGCCGAAGTGTGCAAGGTTGCGGGCCCGAGAATTTGGGCCTGCAACCTAAGACCGCACTGCGCATTCGACATCGGTGCTCTAACCACTGAGCTACTGGCCATCACTTGAATATGTGAGAAGTTTAAACACAAGGTGTGAAGTTCATTCATACTAATTGCACGTTATGCCAGGCCCAAGGGGCTGTCAGCAGTGAGAGCCGGCAGGCTCCAAGGCAGATGTCGCCCAGGAAGCTCGGGATCAGGCCAAACTGGTCAGGCAACACCTGCAGGGGTCTGGCTTGGATCGCTCCTGAACCGGTTGGGATACCAGTACTGGACACAAGTCTTCAAGAAGAGGCCAGACTGGGCCGGTGGGGATTTGTTGCATACTCATGAAACACAGTCATAAGTATGACGCAGATTCCCAGAACCGACCAGATAATACAGAGTTGATGCCAATTGCAAGCGGAAGACTTGAGATATATGGACTGACTCTGACCTGACTCGGACTGCAATCGAACACTCTCAATCATACATCAGGGGTGTGAAAGCCCTGGCCTTAGACATAGACGAAGGCCAGGGTCTGAGATCATCCACGGACAAATGGAGGGAGGAGAGAGACGAAGGGAGGAGGAGAGGGAAGATGACGTCAACTCAATGTTTCCAAAGATAGTATCTTGAAATGTCAGAGGTGGCGAAAATCCGAAATGTCGCGAATACAATGTCTCACAATGTCTCAGATATCGATCTCACAATGTCAAGTACATCTCCTGAGGAAGATGAAATCAGATCCCCCAAGTAGTCCTCAACCTATAGTCCCAATGTCGCTGTCTCCAATGTTATCAGAACTCGTAACCATCCTTCATACTCATAGTAGTCCTGTAGGAGAACCCAGGAGTAGACTTAGACTGAGAAGGTAGGAGGTGCAATCAGACTCGTCTCATTCACACTTTTCATGCTTGTAAACAGCAGCGCAGCAAGCTGGCGACATGCGCCCACTCAATACTCAGAGATATGGTGTCCAGATAAGAGTTCACTTTAACTGGCTATGGCGACTCAGCGCCCAAACAACTCACTGTTCACACCATAGTTGCGGCGCACCAGTGCGCAGTGCGGTGCAGGGCGGTGGGCACTGCGCTGTGCGCTGGAACGACAGCGAGCGCACTGTGCGCTGTGCGGTGTGCGCAGTACGCAGTGCTGTCCGCTGTGCGTGGTGCGAGCGCTGAGGGAGTCGCGCACTGCGCGCAAAAGAAAAAGAAAAAGAAAAAGAAAAAAAAAAAAAAAAAA